CTCGACACGCTCAGGTTTCATTGGCTCTCACACTCTTTAGCTTACGTAACAGGGCTGTACAGGCTGAGATAAAAGGCCCAGTCTGTGACACCTGTTTTCACTGAGAATCGTAGTTCCACCAAGAGGAAACATGGGTCACTACTTGTACTTCTCTGCTGAGACATGGACCCTGCTGATTGCCTTTGTCACGTTACTCCTAGTGTGAGTGTTAATTATTCTGTATTTATCTATTTATTTTTTTCTTTATATTTCTTAATTCAATTCAAGAGGTATGTCTTGTAACTTATTTATTTATTCTCTTTTATTCAATATTTATTGGTTTTGTTTTTTTTTACTCGTCTTGTCTTTATGCAGGTATGCCTACTGGCCTTATGGGGCTTTCAAAAGATTAGGGATCTCTGGCCCCAAACCCATCCCGTTTTTTGGAACAATGCTGCATTATCGAAGGGTACGTATATATATATATATATATATATATATATATATATATTACTTTTAAAGCTCAACCTGTTGTACAAAAACTACAGGTTGAGTTTGAATAAAGATATCAAATGTCTTACAATCGACCATCTAAAGTGTATTCATCTGATGAATTAGTGAAAATCTTAAAAGCATGAAGCTGATTTAAATGTAAAATTGTATTCACTGAATAACCTTTAAACTTTGTCAGCTACAATATATGATGTCACTATGGTGGTACAGTTCATTAGGAGAAATGAGGAGGGAATGAGAGGAAGAAACAGCTCCAGAAATCACCTTTTATGGGGAATAAAGGCCAGTCATTTGCCTTAAGGCAAGAAGAACAGGTTAAAGGTGTTCAGCCTGTATGCTCTGTTAAGTTTAACCAAAACAAACTATTTGAGTAAATAGACTTTTTTGGAACTTATGTATTTCTTAATTATACATTCATAGAAAGTCTTGTAAACATATTTCACGCTGATGCAAAACATTGTTGAGCAACATGTCACTTTATGATCCATAATCATCTAAACTGCTCTGATTACCTGCACTAATTGCTTTTTTTATGAATCAGAATCCGAATTACTTTATTAATCCTTTGCAGGATATTCTTTTATTGCAGTTCAACCATTTACAGAAGTACAATAAAGCAAAATATAATATAATAAA